CTGAGACTTGGTGGGATAACTCACATGACTGGAGTATTGTCATGGATGGATATAAACTGTTCAGGAAGGACAGGCAGGGCAGAAAAGGTGGGGGAGTTACATTGTATGTAAGAGAGCAGTATGACTGCTCAGAGCTCCGCTATGAAACTGCAGAAAAACCTGAGTGTCTCTGGATAAAGTTTAGAAGCGTGAGCAACAAGGGTGATGTCGTGGTGGGAGTCTGTATAGACCACCGGATCAGGGGGATGAGGTGGATAAGGCTTTCTCCCGGCAACTCACGGAAGTTACTAGATCGCAGGCCCTGGTTCTCATGGGAGACTTCAATCACCCTGATATCTGCTGGGAGAGCAATACAGCGGTGCACAGACAATCCAGGAAGTTTTTGGAAAGGGTAGGGGACAATTTCCTGGTGCAAGTGCTGGAGGAACCAACTAGGGGCAGAGCTCTTCTTGACCTGCTGCTTACAAACTGGGAAGAATTAGTAGGGGAAGCAAAAGTGGATGGGAACCTGGGAGGCAGTGACCATGAGATGGTCGAGTTCAGGATCCTGACACGGAAGAAAGGAGAGCAGCAGAATATGGACCCTGGACTTTAGAAAAGCAGACTTTGACAACCTCAGGGAACTGATGGGCAGGATCCCCTGGGAGAATAACATGAGGGGAAAGGAGTCCAGGAGAGCTGGCTGTATTTTCAAGAATCCTTATTGAGGTTACAGGGACAAACCATCCCCATGTGTAGAAAGAATAGTAAATATGGCAGGCGACCAGCTTGGCTTCACAGTGAAATCCTTGCTGATCTTAAACACAAAAAAGAAGCTTATAAGAAGTGGAAGATTAGACAAATGACCAGGGAAGAGTATAAAAATATTGCTTGGGCATGCAGGAGTGAAATCAGGAAGGCCAAATCACACCTGGAGTTGCAGCTAGCAAGAGATGTTAAGAGTAACAAGAAGGGTTTCTTCAGGTATGTTAGCAACAAGAAGAAAGTCAAGGAAAGTGTGGGCCCCTTACTGAATGAGGGAGGCAACCTAGTGACAGAGGATGTGGAAAAAGCTAATGTACTCAATGCTTTTTTTGCCTCTGTCTTCACGAACAAGGTCCCAGACTACTGCACTGGGCAGCACAGCATGGGGAGGAGGTGACCAGCCCTCTGTGGAGAAAGAAGTGGTTTGGGACTATTTAGAAAAGCTGGACGAGCACAAGACCATGGGGCCGAATGCACTGCATCTGAGAGCGCTAAAGGAGTTGGCGGATGTGATTGCAGAGCCATTGCCCATTATCTTTGAAAACTCATGGCGGACTGGGGGAGGTCCCGGACGACTGGAAAAAGGCTCATGTAGTGCCCATCTTTAAAAAAGGGAAGAAGGAGGATCCTGGGAACTACAGGCCAGTCAGCCTCACCTCAGTCCCTGGAAAAACCATGGAGCAGGTCCTCAAGGAATCAATTCTGAAGCACTCAGAGGAGAGGAAAGTGATCAGGAACAGTCAGCATGGATTCACCAAGGGCAAGTCATGCTTGACTAATCTAATTGCCTTCTATGACAAGATAACTGGCTCTGTGGATGAGGGGAAAGCGGTGGACGTGTTGTTCCTTGACTTTAGCAAAGCTTTTGACATGGTCTCCCATGGTATTCTTGCCAGCAAGTTAAAGAAGTATGGGCTGGATGAATGGACTATAAGGTGGATAGAAAGTTGGCTAGATTGTCGGGCTCAACGGGTAGTGATCAATGGTTCCATGTCTAGTTGGCAGCTGGTATCAAGTGGAATGCCCCAAGGGTCGGTCCTCGGGCTGGTTTTGTTCAGTATCTTCATAAATGATCTGGAGGATGGTGTGGATTGCACCCTCAGCAAGTTTGCAGATGACACTAAACTGGGAGGAGAGGTAGATACGCTGGAGGGTAGGGATAGGATACAGAGGGCCCTAGACAAATTAGAGGATTGGGCCAAAAGAAATCTGATGAGGTTCAACAAGGACAAGTGCAGAGTCCTACACTTAGGACGGAAGAATCCCATGCACCGCTACAGACTAGGGACCGCATGGCTAGGCAGCAGTTCTGCAGAAAAGGACCTAGGGGTTACAGTGGACGAGAAGCTGGATATGAGTCAACAGTGTGCCCTTGTTGCCAAGAAGGCCAATGGCATTTTGGGATGTATAAGTAGGGGCATTGCCAGCAGATCGAGGGATGTGATCGTTCCCCTTTATTAGACATTGGTGAGGCCTCATCTGGAGTACTGTGTCCAGTTTCGGACCCCACACTACAAGAAGGATGTGGAAAAGAGTCCAGTGGAGGGCAACAAAAATGATTAGGGGACTGGAACACATGACTTATGAGGAGAGGCTGAGGGAACTGGGATTGTTTAGTCTGTGGAAGAGAAGAATGAGGGGGGATTTGATAGCTGCTTTCAACTACCTGAAAGGGGGTTCCAAAGAGGATGGATCTAGACTGTTCTCAGTGGTAGGAGATGACAGAACAAGGAGTAATGGTCTCAAGTTGCAGTGGGGGAGGTTTAGGTTGGATATTAGGAAAATCTTTTTCACTAGGAGGGTGGTGAAACACTGGAATGGGTTACCTAGGGAGGTGGTGGAATCTCCTTCCTTAGAGGTTTTTAAGGTCAGGCTTGACAAAGCCCTGGCTGGGATGATTTAGTTAGGGATTGGTCCTGCTTTGAGCAGGGGGTTGGACTAGATGACCTCCTGAGGTCCCTTCCAACCCTGATATTCTATGATTCTATGAGAGAGAGAGAGACACAGTGTGTATTTGTGACAGAGACACTGTGTGTGTGTGTGAGACAGAGAAACACACAGTGTGTGTGACAAAGAGAGATACACGCTGCCCCTTTACGTCCGCTGCCCTTTAAGTAGATCAGCACTCAACAGCCTGAAGCCTGCGTGTTCAGACACAGCAACAGCTGCCAGCAAGCTCCCTCTGGAGCCCCGTCGTGTCCCACCCGCTCTGTGGAGACGGGATACAGTGGTGGGGGGAGGGTGACACCCTGACATCAGTGCCCCCTTTCCTCGCCCCACTCTGCACAGCAATCAAGAGGCTCCTGGGAGCAGCTGTTTAGGGGCTCCAAGGCAGAGGGCAGGAGCAGTGAGGCAGTGAGGGGAGGGACACCTGAAGTGCGCTGCACTTGATAGCCTGCTGGGTGATCAGCCGGCTGTGCAGCTTAGAGGGAACTTCCCCACTGAAAATCCCTGCTCCAGATTCTTCCCCCCACAAACGGTTGGTCTCTTCCCAAGAGGCATTATTTTGTGCCCACATGTCTAAGGTCAGCCCCTTTGTCTCACTTCTCTGTCCGCATGGGTTGCTTGTGACTCCTCCAATCGCAAGGTTGCAAACTTTAGCGAGTTTCTTGTCATATTTCTCAAAGCCCCAGTTCCTGGAATTAGGGGCTTCTATGAGACTCTCATCTTTCATTTAAAAAACAAAGCAAGTTTCCTGCCCTCCTGATGGCACAGAAAAGATTGAAAACGTGACCCCTGAATACTCCAAAGCCAGATAAGAAATGAAAAGAACTCTAAATACAGTATTTTTGAAATCTTGTGATTTCTTTAGCGAATCTCATGATCTGGGAGGATGATCTTTGAATGCATAGGCTCAGTCTCATGATTTTTGAATGCATGGGAAGGGCAATCCTGACACTGAGTGTTCTCAGCATGTCATTAGCTCCATCAATAGCGACTGCAAATAAAACCCCTCCCTAAAGCAACTGCTGCCCCAATAAATAGATATATCATCCTCCATCCAGAGTGGTGCCTCCCTCTCTTGGCTGGGCACCCTCTGCCCTTCCTGCTTGCTCTAGTGCAGCGCTCCCCCTGGCCTCCCTGAGATGCTTGGGAACCCTGGGCTTGGTGGCTCTCTCTTTCCCGTCCTGCCTCCTTAAGGATTCAGCACAGAGCTCTGGCAGAGGTTTTCTTACTCATTTCATCTGCGCTGGGCAGGTGCCAGAACACACTCAGCCACTTTAGCTGCATCCCGGCCTCCCGTCAGCAAAGAGCAGAGTGAGAGCTTCACAGTTACTGATCCAACACACTGCCCAACTCTGTGACAAGGGGGTGCCCCTGGCCCCATTTGGGGTTTGCTCAGCCCTCGTAAAGGAACAGAGAGCTATCCACGAGATGAATGAGCTTGGCCAACCCTGTTGCAGGCGCCCCTGCCATCACTGGGCGTGTGGCTGGGCAGAGGTGCCCAGTGACAAGCTCCGTGCTGCCTGCTCCCTGAATGCAGGGCTTGTCAGGGCTGACTCCAGGGAAATGGATACACAGGGTTTGGGGAACAAAGGCTGGCCTGAACCCCCGCTTAGCTGTGGCCCAGCACCAGCCCAGAAGGGAACGTCAGCTTGGCACATCTCAGTGGAGGTCCCCCAACCAAGTGTGAGCCTGGAACGACCTACCCGTCACCCCCAAAGGAACTGGGAGCCTAGTACTTCTCAGCAATGACCCTTGGATGAAGCATGAGCTGAGAACAATCTGCCCATCACCCACCAAAAAATACGAGTCTAAACTATTTCCATGATCCCGGAATGAAGCAGGAATCTGGAACAACCTGCTCTTTGCCCCCAAAGAGAGTGCAAGTCTAGAACACTTTGAGAACAGCTCAGAACAAAGCAGGAGCCTAGAACAACCTGCCTATCACCCCTGCAGGGTTTGGTAGCCTTCAATGTCTTGGCAACAGCCCCTGAGACATGGACCTAGAACAACCTGGCAACAACAAACCCTGAGCCTTAAAGTTCCCAGAGCGCTCTTTGCAGTGTCACCCACTGAGCCCTGCAGCCAAGGGCACACTGGACCCACAGTGATTGGTTTTGAGTGGAGATGTAGCTAGGCTGCAGAAATGAGGTAGCAGCGCTGGCTGTGGGGGAGCTCCCAGCTACTCCAGTCCCAGCTTCTCCCAGCAGGAGGCACTACAGGGAGTGGAGCAGGAGCATTGGGCATGGGCAGTTCAGACAGGATCGGGGTATCTCCAAGTGAGAGGCACAGGGGTTCTGGCCTGCACTCACCATTAGCATCTCACTGGTCAGGGAGTTCACCAGGTCCGAGACGGACGAGCGAGGCTCCGTTTTGCGGTCAGACTCGTCATGCTGGGTCTGCCCGGGCATAGGGGCTGTGTTCACCATCTTGCCTCCAGATGGCAACCTTGGGAGAGAGGAGCAGTATGTAAGAGAAGGGGGCAGGGTGCCATGTCCGAGCCGTGGGTCAGGCCGTGCCAATGCAGCCCGAGCTGCTCTCCATCACAGCTGTATCCTAATGCCAAGATCCCCTGACACATCCCTGTGTATCCCTCACACCCCTCGGTGATTCCTCACCCACCTGGCCGTAAGAGAGTTCACTTCAGACCTCCCACCCATTGGACTCATAACCATGGATCCAGGCATGCCCCTCACATGGGCACCCGTCCATCTCGTTCACTATTGCCCTCAGCCTGGTGCTGATCCCCTTTGTCCTGGCCTCCATCTTGCTCTGGCCCTATAGATGGAGGCCCTCATGTCTCCCCAGCCTCCAGTAATTCCCACCCCTTCAGTGGGGGCCTGGGCATCACCCACTGGCACTGCAGGCTCTCCTGTCTTGTACTGGGAGGGAGGCAGAGCTATTGCTTCTGCTTCTTTCCACTGACACCCTCCCCTGCCTCTCAGGCCCATTAACCTCTGTGAACACACACGCTCCCTCTCACAGAGAGGCAGCTGCCTTTGTTTGCTTTCTCCTGACAGATGAGTTGTCTGCCAGCCCCGACACATGCACAGCACCTGGGGGAACCCGAGTGCCAGGTGCTACAGGACGTCAGCTCTGCAGGCCAAGTGCGATGGGACAAACTCCCCCAGGGCGGGCAGGACAGCAACATGGCAACCGCGCTGCAGCTGTGACTCCATGGCAGCCCAGTCCTGGCAGCCCCGCTATGGCCTGTAACCCACCAGACAAATCCTGACAGCCCCGCTAAGGCCTGTAACCCAGCAGCCAGGCCATGGCAGCCCCATGCCTCCCATGTGACATCCCATTGCAGTTCCTGGTGTGTTGGCGGCTCTCATTTACAGTGCTGGGGGAAGCTGCCTGGCTATGCCTCCTTTGCTCAGCACCCTGCCATGGGAGTTTAGCAGCATGGCCAGGACTCACCACCCCACTAGGAGAGTGACTGAAGCGTCTCCCACATCAGACAGGCCTTGCTCAGTGCAGGTCAGCAGGGCCTCACCCTCCTGTCCATGCCTCCCCTGCCCATGCCTGGGAAAGGTCTGATCTCAGTAGGTGCTTACTGCAGGAACCTCTCTGTAAAGATGCTAGATTGCCAATATCTCCCCCACGTTTCTCCTCCTGCTGGCCACCCCCATTCCCAGCTCTCCCATTTTCTGCCCCTGAAGCTGGACAAAGCACACAAATTGGAGGCTTGTTCCTCCTTCCCAGGAGATGTGGGTTCACTGGCCTTTCTTGTCCCTATTTGTGAGCTGGGTAGAACCATATAGCACAGGGAGCAGGGCTGGGTCAGCCCGGACATCTTCCCCAGACATCCAGGAAGCCAGATCCTCCTCTGATACCCTAGCAGGGATGAACCTATCCTGTTAAGACACTAAGGAGAGGCCTTCACTGGTTCCCCCATTGTTCTGACCACGGTGATGATGCCGTCTCTCTGGCCCAGGACATCCATGCCCCCCATGGCTTGGTGTTCATTCACATACACACATGGGAGGTCCCGGCTATGCTCGTCCTGGTCTAGCAATTCAATGGCCTCTCTGTGACAGCAGCTGGGTCGATAGGTGCACTGAACAGCAGTGCTGGGGGGTTTGATGGCAGCAGCCCCAGCATAGATGCTGCAAGAGGAGATGATGCACGTACGATTGGGAGGAAGGAGAGATCCAAGGTATGAGGGCGCAGGGGCAGAACACTGGAAAAGGCACAGAGGAGAGACACCGGCATACAGAGAGACACACACAGGCAATGGGAGACATGTAGAGACACCAACATGCAGGGAAATACACACAGAGACACGTGGGATACACACATACACACAGACCCACATGCAGAGACACAAAACAAAAGCAAACAAAACCTTCAAAGAAACACACAGAATCAGACACAGATACCTACTGACACACTCACAGACAGTGCAGCACACACCTAAATCTTCTAGACAGTGGCATCCACACACAGTCTCTCTCACATACCTAGATCCAGGCACACTGATAAGCTCACAGATAGATACACAGATCTAGACAAAGTGACATAGACAGTGACACACACACATAGATCTAGATGCACTGACACACTGAGTGACACACACAAAGATCCAGCTGCACCAATACACTCGTAGACAGCGTAAGACAGGCAGATCTAGATACAGTGATCCACTCATAGGCAGAGTGACACACACGGAGATCCAGACAGGCCAATACACTCACAGACCGAGTGACACACACACACATAAAGAAAGAGACTGAAATAGCTGGAGAGGTAAAGTCAGGTTAAAAACAAAGAGAGAGTGAAAGTGTGTGATTGATAGCTGGAGGTGTGAACAATTCAGAGGTATTTTGTCAACCCCAGTGCATCGACGCAGCTGCAAAGCTATCTGGGAAACGGTTAGCACCGGCGGAGCTCACAGGACAGCAAGAGAGAGAGCGAGAGAGAGACAAAGGAAGAGCAGCATCTTCCACCACAGGGCTTGGCCTGCCTCCTGAGGGAAGGGAAAATGGGAAGAAAGCGTGAGGGGAGAGAAGGAGACACACAGAGAGATTAGTAAACAAAAAGCAACCACCACACCGACAGGACTAGGCACTGGACTGGCGCCACCAGGGCTGACAGGGGGGACAGGGCTGAGCAGCAGCAGCAGCAGCAGGGCTGGAAGGAAGAAGCAGAGAAAAGGGAAAGGAGGAGACATTACAATGTGATACACCACATGGCCACTGTGAACAGGCGTGCTGGGATGGGGGGTAATGGGAAACAAAGAGAGAAAGAGAGACAGGGTCTTCCGTGGACCCACAAGCCTCAGGAGCCCTTAGCACCCACCCCTCCCACCACGCCGGCCCCCACAAGCTACATCCCCCTATATCCCACCGAGACTGGAGGGGCAGGGGAGCTTGTGGGGAGAGCAATAGATGGGGTTGGGAGGATGTAGAGGAACAGGGAGGAAGGTGGAGTGTGAGGGGGAAAGGAGATAAGGATGGGGGGAACAGGGAGAGAGGTGAGGGGTGGGGGGAGCAGGAGCTGGGGGCTGGAAGGAAGTGGGGAGAACATAGAGCCTATCATTGTCATCAATTCCAAGGCCAGAAGAGGCCAGTGTGATCCTAGAACTGCCCCCAAACCATTCCTAGAGCTTTTAGAAAAACAGCCCATCTTGCTTTAAAAATTGTCAGTGCTGGAGAATCCACCATGACCCTGGGTAAATTATGCCAATGGTTAATTACCCTCACTCTTAAAAATGTACGCCTTAGTTCCAGTCTCAATTTGTCTAGCTTCAACTTCCAGCTGTTGGATCATGTTCTACTTTTCTCTGCTAGACTGGAGAGCCCATTATTAAATATTTGTTCCCCATATAGGTACTTACAGACTGTGATCTAATCACCCCTTACCCTTCGCTTTGTTAAGCAAGGTACAGTTTCTAATCTTTTAATCTTTCTCATAGCTCTTCTCTGAACCCTCTCTAATTGATAATACCCTGCTTGAATTATGGCCACCGGAACTGGACACAGCATTCCAGCAGCAGCCACGCGAGTGCCAAAGGTAGAGATCAAATAACTTCTCTGCTTCTGCTCAAGATTCCCCTGTTTATGCATCCAAGAATTACACAGGCCCTTCTGGGCACAGCATCGCACTGGGAGCTCATGTTCAGCTGATTATTCACCATGACCCAAAATCTTTTTCACAGTCACTGCTTCCCAGGATAGAATCCCACAACCTGTAAGGGTGGCCTATGTCCTTTTTTCCTAGCTGTACACATTTACATTACATAGTAAAATGCATATTGTTTGCTTGTTATTAACAGTTACATTTTGAGACCTATTAGTGAGCCAGCTTTTAATCCACTGAATATGTGCCATGTTAATTTCATATCATTCCAGTTTTTTAATCTAACTGTTATATGGTACCCAATCAAATGCCTTACAGAACTCTAAGTCTACTACATCAACACTATTACCTTTATCAACCCAACTTGTAATCTCATTAAAATAAAGATATCAAGATATCAGGCTATATTTTCCATCAACCTATGTTGACTGGCATTAATTATATTACCCTCCTTTAATTCTTTATTACTCTAGTCCTGTATCTGCTGCTCCATTATCTTGCCCAGGATCCATGTCAGGCTGATGGGTTATGGGGAGAACAGGAGACTGGGGTTAGGAGGGCGTGGAGGGGGAGCATGGAGGGTGGGCGATTCTCCTAGGACCAAGGTGGAAGGTACAGAATGGGGGCGCTCTCTCCAGATTGGAGCACGCTGTGTGCCCAGTGGGAGATCAGCTCCTAGGTCAGTGTGCACAGAATGGACCTGTGCCAGCAGGGGATGCTCACTCTGGGCTGAGGCGATCTCGGCTGAACATGCTCAGCCCACCCCCACTTACAGCATCAGATAGGGACAGACTGTGCAATGAGATGATCAAAATGGAAGTGCTAAAATATGTACTGAAATATAACCACAGCGAGGTATAAATAGCGTGCGGGTGAGAACGGTGCCAGCTAATTAACACACTGATCATGTAGAACCAGCTTCTTCTTTCTTCACACCTCCTCGCAGCTAGAGATGGAATTTAACATGCACTTGGAGCTGCTCGAGGCCTCTGCCTCCAGTCAGCCAGGCCCCCTCCCCTCCTGATCCCAGCAGGGGAATGAGATGGCACAAAACCACACAAGAGACGGGGGCTTGTGGCTGTCACATCACTCCCCCACGACCCTCGCCTCTGCGAGGACAGCAGGCAGCTAGCAGGGGAAGCAGCCCCTGCTGGGCAACAGCAGAAAGGCCAAAGGACACTGGCAGATTTGCTGGCCATGTGGCTTTGGCAATGGAAAGATCAGGGTATATATTCTGCAGAGTGTCTCTCCCCATTTTCCTGACCAGGACTTTGGAACAGCCCAAAAAGCATGACACCACCCCCAGACTCACTGCTGAGCCCTGTGCGTCCCAGGGCAGGACTCGCGGAGTTCAGGCAGGGCTGTGCAGATGCCCCTGAAGTACAGGCATGATCCATAAAACTCACAGGGTATATCTAAGCTGCAGCACACGTAGACACAGCGGAGCTAGCTGTGATCTAGCCAGCTGGGCTACCAATAGCAGTGAAGCTGCGGCAGCATGGGCTGGCCACCTGAAGGCCAGCCAGTGTGGGTATGTGCGCAGACGGCTAGCCAGTGCTGCAGTCCATGCTGCTGCAGCTTCACTGCTATGTATACCGAGCTAGCTAGATCAGAGTTAGTGCGATTATGTCTACACAAGCGGTAATCAGTCCCTGATGACAGTGTAAACAGAGCTCTGGTATGAAAGTTCCCCACAGACCAAGGCTAGGGTCTGCTTCCCATCCTTCCCTGGGGTGACTCTGGGGTGACTCTGGAACAGTCCAGGGGGCTACACTGGTTAAGAGTAAAAAGAGACTCAGCCCCCTGGAGCTCACTGCCCTGAAACACCCAGTCACCCCACCATTGACTCATGGCTGCCAAGGTGCTTGCACATCTGCCCACATGGGATGTTTCTTGCACTGATTGGGGGGAATCTCCTCCCCAGGAGTGAGGGGAGATGGGGCAGTGCCCCACCACTTCAGAAGCTGGGCCTTGGGGGAGGGGAACCAGGAGGGAATCAGGGCTCACCTGGAGGAGGCTGGAGTGAGAGAGGTTGTGGGGAGAGAGCCTGGAGCCTTACTGGGGATTGGACAGGGCTTGGAACAGCCTGAGGAAAGGGGTGATGGGGAAGTGGGAGCCTGGAGTCTGTGGGGGAGCCTGGGATGGCTGCCTCCAATCTGCCCTCCATTTTGTCCCATTGCAGTCCTGGCCCCCCAGCGGTCTCCATACTGCCCGGGAACCAGCTGGGGGCCCAGGAGGGGAGAGGCTGCTGGAAGCCAGGGAGTGGCAGTAGGAGCGGTGAAAGCAACTGCCTGCCAGCGAGAGGAAGAGAAACCTTAGCCCCAAAGATGCTAGGAAATATCCTGCCATCCCTGTAGCCGGAAAGAAACCCTGGGATCCTGGGAAACAAAGGTATTTCTCAGATCACAGCTCAGCAGCCAGCACAGTAGCCCAGGGGCATGTGCCACCACAGGAGTTGTATTTGGCAACAAACAACCGGGCGGCTGTTACCTCCCTGGGTTTAATGTGCAAATACCAGTGACTGTGTCGGGTCTCTCCGTAGAATAGCATGAGAGTAGTAGAGTCCCTCTCCACTGACTCTTCTTTCCCCTCCCTGCAGTTCACTGTCTCCCCCTGCCCTATGCCAGCCAACACTGCAGAGTTAAGTTAAATGCACGGGGTGGAATGTTGGCCCCACTGAAGTCAATGGCAAAGTTCTCCTTAACTTATGGGGCTGGGATTCCAATCATGAAGGTCTTGGTTCTCCGGGATGTGGTGTACAGGGGATTGAATGAAACCAGGAGCTTCCTGGCAGGAGGTCATTCTCCAGCTCTCTGCTGAAGCACATGGCTCTTCTTGAGTGACCACAACAAATACTGCCTGATAATGCACCAAGGAACTGAGACTGGGGGACTTGCCATGGCCTTGACTAATGAGCCCAGTGGACCACAAATTTCCCTGAGGTCCTCACTCTTGTCCCTCTCCATTCTATCGGTCTTGTTCCCCTCTCTCCCCTGGATCTTTTCAACTCCCCTCTCTTCATGTCTTTGCTTCCTATCGCCCTTAGCTAAGCAGGGTGAGGCTGCTCAAAGGCGGGAATCGGTGTGGCCACCACCCTGCTCCCTGACACCTGTCAGAAGAGAGGGAAGGGGATGAGACATGGAGGTGAATGGGGCAGGGGAGGTGGCAGAAGGGAAGGGAGGAAGGAGGACAAGGACAATTCATTCCTGCCTGAGGAAGGTGTGATTCCCAAGCCCCAGCTCTCCCCCTAACAGGGACGCGAACACCAGGACTAGGTGCTAGGGAAAGAGGAGGGAGCCTGCCACATGGCTTTGAAACAGCACTGTGCCCAACACCCAGGCTACTTGGCATTCCCCCCCTCCTGCTGCGCCAACCTTCCGCTCTCCCTGGCAGTGGGAGCTGCCACCAGCCTCCTCCAACCCTCGGCAGTGCCCTCTCTTCTCCTCCTGCTGAAGCACCCTCTCCCTTACTCATACCTCTTGTCCCCCTGAGAGTTCTGCGCCTGCTGGTTCCCAGCGGTTTGCAGATCAGGTATATTGGCAAAGTCGTCCTGCTCCGAAAGTCCCAGAACCAGGGATAACACCACCATCCGGCCTTCCCTGCACAGGAGGGAGCCGGCCGTGGAAAGGAGGAGAGCAGGAAGCAGAAAGGAAAGAGAAAGAGAGAGGAGAACAAAGCATGAGAAACAAAACCCAGAGGAAAACAGCACCTTAGAGACGGAGTGTGAGGCTACTCAAGGTTGGGATAGATACCCGCAGTACAGAGCCACAGGCTCCCCAGTTGGAGATAACAGAGTAGATTGTTGGACAGAGAATCTCCGTAAGGTGGCAAATGCACTTGGCACTTCTTTCTGGCCATGGAGACCAGGGCTAAAGTCAACCAGCCATGGTGCCACTTTTCAGTAGGAAAGAGGCACTTGCGTTATTCGTGGGGAATCCATCACCAGTGGACACTTGAGAATCAGCTCCAGAAAAGATTGTCAATCTAATGCAGGGCGTCTCAGACCTCTTTCTAGTGTGGACTGCATCTTAACAGACAGGCTGCCTTGGGGGCAGTTCCCCTCCCATTGGTGATGGCCTCTCTTCCGGGAGTTGTGACTGTGCAGGGAATGAAGGTTAGCAGAGAAGACAAGATGAAAGTGAAGGCAGGTGAATAGGGGCTGAAGGTTGGTGTGGAAGGCAAGAGCGACTGGGTAACATGGGAAGGATGGGCATTAAACTAGGATTGCTATGGATATGGGAGGTGTCCTGGTTCTGAAAGAGAGGAGTAATGGTATGCGGTGGAGAGCAATCCTTGGTGGTTTGATAGCTGGGGCTTGTTGACGACCAAAGCTCAGCTAGTGTGTGGATGAAGGTGAGTTGGTATTTTACTGTTGAACTGGCAACCACTGCACAACTTGCCAAAATGCATCCTGGCCAACTCCAGAAAATCTCCCATTGACTTCAGGAGGAGTTTCACCTGGATTTGGACCTTCTTCCGAAGTATCACATATTGGCCACAGCAGAGGGAGGATACCACGCTAGACAGCCCAATGGTCTGATCCCGAATGGTAAAGCCTATGGTCATATGGTTTGTGAGGCACATTCGTTTCAGGTGACAGCTTTCTGTAAAATTACCCTGTCCTGGGATATTTCTCTCTCTCACTTCTCAGCCCAAAGGAGAAGATTTATTTAATGAAGAGTTTGGGAAAATTCCCATTGTCTGTATTTGAAATTACCCTTATCTAGCTCTAATGTAATCTAATCTAATCTAACCTAATCTATTTGAGGCAGGTGTGTACTGGAGAGATGGTAGTGAGGAATGGGTCCTGACGACAGCTCTGCATTGGGGAGCTGCCATTGGGGACAGTGGTATGCAGGGTGGTTGGGTACAGGGATGTTGGTTCTAGCAGACAAGGTCACAGAAATGTTGATTACTGAAGGCAGGCTGGCTTTACTGCCCCTGGGCGAGCTGGTGCTGGAGATGGATGGAGTTGGAATAAGGCAGCTATTGGGGAGCTGGTACTTGAGAATGATTATAGGAGGCTGCTGTGGAATCAGGGTAGGTATGGAGAATTAACTACGATGCAAGCTGATCTGGATGCTTGGGACAGAAATTGGCCTGGTAGCATGGGTAGGTTGGGTGAGAGGGTGGGGATACTGGAGGGTCTTAGTCGTATGCAGATTGCCATGGGAGGTAGTGAGTAGTAGGAGCTAGAATTGAAGGAGAGTTGGTACCAAATGGGGGAACCTCTGGGGAGCAGGTGTTAAAGAGCAGGTTTTCTGTGAGGGGAAAGGGCCATACATTGGGCCCAAGCCATCCCTGCTTTAGCTCTACTGTGGTCGAAGGCATTTCCCAGGGCTGGATTGATCTGTTGTTTCCCCAGCTCAAGAAGTCCGAGCTAAGTGAATAGAAATGTTCTCCGCAGAGTACAGCCGGTTGCTCAGAAGCATGGACCTTCGGAAAGAGTGTCAGCTCCAAATTAAACCTCACTCCTGGTAGAAGCGCAAAGGTTTTTCAATTCTGAGCGAGCAGGTCTTTCTGACCTTGATCGCCAGGCAGCGGTTCTGCGGGCCCCGGGCTCAGACTAGGGACCGAATGGCTAGGCAGCAGTTCTGCGGAAAAGGACCTAGGGGTGACAGTGGACGAGAAGCTGGATATGAGTCAGCAGTGTGCCCTTGTTGCCAAGAAGGCCAATGGCATTTTGGGATGTATAAGTAGGGGCATAGCGAGCAGATCGAGGGACGTGATCGTTCCCCTCTATTCGACATTGGTGAGGCCTCATCTGGAGTACTGTGTCCAGTTTTGGGCCCCACACTTCAAGAAGGATGTGGATAAATTGGAGAGAGTCCAGCGAAGGGCAACAAAAATGATTAGGGGGCTGGAACACATGAGTTATGAGGAGAGGCTGAGGGAGCTGGGATTGTTTAGCCTGCAGAAGAGAAGAATGAGGGGGGATTTGATAGCTACTTTCAACTACCTGAAAGGGGGTTCCAAAGAGGATGGCTCTAGACTGTTCTCAATGGTAGCAGATGACAGAACGAGGAGTAATGGTCTCAAGCTGCAGTGGGGGAGGTTTAGATTGGATATTAGGAAAAACTTTTTCACTAAGAGGGTGGTGAAACACTGGAATGCGTTACCTAGGGAGGTGGTAGAATCTCCTTCCTTAGAGGTTTTTAAGGTCAGGCTTGACAAAGCCCTGGCTGGGATGATTTAACTGGGAATTGGTCCTGCTTCGAGCAGGGGTTTGGACTAGATGACCTTCTGGGGTCCCTTCCAACCCTGATATTCTATGATTCTATGATTCTATGTGTTGTGGAGACAACAAATAGCGTCATGACCCGGGTTCAAGAGCTGTGCCTTTGATGCTGAAGTGTGATGCAGCCGCTCCGACACGCACGTGCCACTACTTATTACGGCTGACGAGAGAGTCTTGCGGACACTTTCGCATCCCTGAACTTACCGCTCTCGGCTGGCTTCAAAAGGTACTGGGGCGCTCTGGGCAGGGGCGCTGTGTAATTGGATTTGAAGCCGCTGCACGGCTTGTGTCTGAGATCAGATGATCATTGTGCGAGGCAGGAAAGGCCGGGCATGGGAGCAGGAGAGAGCAGGACAAACAGCACGACACTCGGGAAGGAGCCAAGGTAGAAACAGCCACCTCTTTCTCCTCGCAATTCTAAATGCATCTGTATTACAGATCACGAGAGACGGTTTGCTATTCATCGGCGAGGGAGCATTGTGCTGTGGTTAAGGCATAGAGTAGGAGTCCGGCCATCTGAAGTCCCAGGGTGGCCTTGGGCAAGTGGCTAAGGCCTAGATCCCCACTGCAACCCATGAGAGTTAAGCACCTAAACACCTCTGGGGATCTGGGCCTCAGCTTCTGGGCACCTCAGTTTCCCACTCAAAAGGGGGCTCATCATACATTTCTGTCTCACACTGTGGCTGGCAGTATGATCTCATTCAGGTACAATGACCCAAATTAGGGGCCCTACACACCTGAATCCACCTTTAGTCCCCTCACTAAGCAGCCTGATTTTCAGACGTGCCGACCACCTGTAAATCCCACCAGTTTTCAAGAGGAACCGGTACCTCTGAAAATCAGGCTGCTTTGGCGCCTAGTTTTAGGCACCCACTTTGGATGACACTGGCCTGCTTGAATAAGGCTGGGCTTTTCAGAAAACCCAAAGATCCGAAAGCTGGTCGCTCAATTCCCTTCGCTTCCTTTGACAACCCCGGCCCTTAATCCTCCCAGCAGCAAAGCGGGACAGAAAGGCGTTTTCATCCTGCTTCACAGAGCGGGTCGTTGAGGCATGGAACAGCACAGCCATGTGCCCAAGGTCACACTGGGTACGTCTACACTGGAGTTGGAGGCGTAAATGCCGGCTCGTGGAGACCTACCCCCACTAGCCTTAGCGTGCTAAAAATAGAGGGTAGCCGCGGTAGCAGGGACTAGCCAGCCACGTGTGTGCCTAGCATCTTGCATGGACTCGTACTTGGGGCAGCTAGCTCCTCCCACCACTACACGTCCATTTTTAGTGCACTAGCTCGATCAGAGCTAGCAAGGACAGGTCTCCTCGAGCTGGAACTGCCACCTCTTGTTCCATACTCAGTGTGAGTCAGTAGCAGAGCTGGGGTTAGAACCCAGTCCGCCTGCCTCCTTTTAACCCCTAGCCTGTGCTCCCTCACTGACCGATGCCAAGGGTCTTCCATCTGATCAGTGGAGGCCTGGTTTCTGTAGAGCACTTTGACAATGTGGGTTGGAAGATGCTAAGTGTATGGAGTTATTATTATTAATGTCCTGGGAGTACACCCTTCCTTGCTGCAATAGGTAGAAGAGAGGGTCTATGCAGGAACCTCCCCAAGGCTGGGACAATGTCCATTTGGTCCCCAGGGCAGTGTCACCTCGTTTGGACTAAAAGGAGCCCAGATACTCCTCCATCTCCATTTAGAACATTTCCCTCTCCAACGGCCTGCTGTCCCCCAGGTTCAGTCTGACACTATCTGCTGGGATCCAGCTGGGCGGAACTCTTTAAAGGGGACATTTTGAAACTCTGGGGGAAGTGGAATGTCCAAACGAGGGAGGGACCATGGCCCAGGGATCACTGCTGTTACCTTACGGCCCCAGTCCTACAAGGGGTTGAGGGGATTCACCAGGTGGCCTCAATTCCCCTCTCAAAGTCATTAGGCACTGAGGGTGTTCAGCACCTGGCAGGACGGAGCCCCACATTGCTAGATTGTGCTCTAGCTGTACCACAGGTTATGGGCTGGGATGCCGGAATCACTAGGTGAGGTTCTCCGCCCTGTGCTATGCAGGAGATCAGATTAGATGATTAGAATGGGCTTAAAGTCTATCCAGCTATGCAAAGGGTGGCACGCTGAGCTGCCAGGGAGCCTGCACCAGCCAAAGCAATGAGGACTAGACAGAATGAATGGGGTCTGATCCTGTTGCAGCTGCTGCCATCAGAAGCATGGGTGGGTTTGCATTGGCAGAGGCCTAGTGCCATCTGACTCCTTTCCTAGGCAAAGCGCTTCTCGGAAGTCAGGACCAGCCAACAGCATGGCAGCAGCTGTGGAGCAGGGCCCTGCAAAGATGATTGTCTGTTATGGGAGGATTAGGAGACACCGAGTGCAGAAAACAGTGGCAAAAAATACCCCTGGGCCCTGGTCCTGTTGTCTGAGTGACACTCCCTGAGTGCCATTGCTGTGTTTTGTTTCTTAACTGAACTAGAAAGGTTTCCTTAGGTGAATGGGAGGCAGCTCAAATGGAGGAAAGAACTGAGAAAGGTCACGGGGTGAGACAAAGGCCAGACGGTGGGAGGGGGAAGGAGAGGTCACATGGGGCCAAACTGAGTGGGTAGGGCTATGAATGGTTGCAGGGGATGAGACAGAGCTCAGACAGAGGGGGAGAAGCTAGGGAAGGTCTGAATGGGCTTCTTCTACTGCGTGATTTGTATCTCAGAAATGCACGGCAATTGACAGGAGAAAGGACTAGAGAGAGAGAGAAATTGGCTCCAGACATACATGAGAGAGAAAAGAAGCAGAGAGAGAATGCATAGGTGCTGGAACTAAGGCTGCTGCCAGACCCCCTGACTTGACATGGTTTCCATCATACACAGGGTTTACAGTTTGGTTCAATGGCTCTCAGCATCCCCTCTACACAAATTGTTCCAGCACCCCTGAGAGAGAGTGAGGATTCCCCAGATCAAAATGGAGTGAGAGAGAAAGAGAGAGACCTTGACCATACACTCATCTCTGCATCTAGAGACAGGGAATGCAGGCTAGCCTGGTGTGGAATGTAAATGTTATCAGTGAGTCTGGGACGGCTGCATTGCACATGGTGCGACACGCACATCATCCCAACCAAGTTCCAGCAGAGCCTTCCCAGCACACCGTGCTGTTGTGTCTCCTACAGATACTGGACGTTTTAGGAAAGCTTTAGAGATTTTTAAACTGTTTTATTGGGACTATATTTTGTATTCCTCCGCCTGCAAAGCCAAGTACTTTAGCTGTCATGAGCCTGACTGTTTAGGGCTCAGAGAGAGCCATGAAAGAAGCCAAACTAGCACTCATGTACCTGAACATGCCACAGATTTAAAGTCTGTTATTCTGGGCCCTTCGAGGGCTAGAAGTGCTGGGTCCCATTGGGAAGCAGTTGGAGATCGCCCCTTCCTGAAGGTGTAAAGCTGGGGCTCTCCTAGCCTGGATCACATCTTTCTAGCGATTTACCCAAGCTTCCATCCTCTCCCATTCCTGATCACACCAACCAGCTTCCCTCATGGGCAGCGCATCCCCATGTCAACCACAGCAACTGCTTGCAAGGAAAAGCAATACTAGGCAGATATTTCTGTGCTCTGCATATCTACAGAATAACCCACTCAACTCCAGCCTCCTGCTTATGCGTGTGTGTGTGGGGGATGGGGGGGCACTGGCATGCCTGCCTTGCTATTTAAAGGCTCAGCTCCCTCTCTAGAAGAGCGAGCGTTTTCACCCACTTGAGATCCCAGGATGCTTTGCATGGATGATGCAGCCTCGTTAGTGTAGCCTCCTGTGGGCCTCCAGAGGTTAATAAATGCATGTGCATTAAAATGCTGAGGAGCGGGAGTTTGATGGTAAGCAAGATGAAAAACAAAGTTAATGGTTTTTTGGAAGTAATGGAACTAAATGGCAGTGACTCCTTGAAGGGCAAAAGCAATAGAACTGCTCAGCTCGTTCTCTTTCTGTGGGTACTTTTTTCAACCAATTAAGGCTGGAATAAGCAAATGAAGCTGTGCAAACAGAGAGGTCTATAATCCTCTGGAGGGCTAATGAGATTCATCTATAAATCAGGAAGCTGGCAAATGGAGCCTGCTATGAAAATCTTTAAGGCTAAGGCCAGGAGGTAAAAGGGCCTTGGTGCTGAGCTGGGTGTGAACAGCCACAAAATTGGCTGAATTAATAGCAAATTAACCCCAAGGATGCTGATCACCATCACCGGTGTAGTGAGTTTGCATCTTCCATCCAAGGATCTGAAAGAGCTTTACATGGGTGAATTACACCTGACACTCCATGCCCTTGATTAGGCAGGATGGATTCCCTGTCGTGAGTCAGAGCCTCAACTGGCATCAGTCAGAGTGGTTCCTTACCCATCTAAGTAGTTACCTGGCATCTGAACACCGCCACTCACTACTGGGTTTTAGTCTCAGAACACTGCTCTGAGGTCAGGAAGCTTCATCCCATTTCACGGATGGGGAACTGAGGCACAGGGCAGAGTAAGTGAGCAGCCCGTGCTCATGCAGGGAGCCTGTAGCTGAACCCGAGTTGAGCCCAGGTCTTCTGAAGCCCAGTCCAGAGTTTTAACCACCAGACCATCCTTCCCACCCATCACTGAGTCATGACTTACACTAACTGGGGATCTGGCCCATTCACTTCAATGGCGTTACATCAGTTTATGCCAGCTGAGGATCTGGCCCTACATGTAATACATTCTGTGGGAGTTACAACGTGGTTCCCATTGTATATGGGCCCCACTGGGTAAAGAGTGAACGAAAGAGCAGGGTGCCTTGGGAAAGTATTGGCAGGGGAGGGGCACGTGCCCAGAAGATAAGTGCGATTGTCATAAGCAGGGATATAATGACAGCAAAGGACTCAGCTTAGTTCATGGCATTGGGAATGTAAAAGCCATCACTGATAGGAGATGCATTTACAACTGATGAGAGATCGAACGCCTCTAGCTGCTCTCACACAACTGCATTTAGGGATCACGGCCGTGGAGGATCTGCGGGCTGACACTCCCAAGGATAAGCACAGGCAATTGCCTCCTTCGCGGTGGGAATGTCAGTTTCCCACTGGTACAAGAGAGTCACCCCATGGCAGGAAGAGAATTCCTGTCCCTGAGCTGACAGGCTCCCTCCTCTCCCAAAGGCAAGACTGTGTGCTGTCTGCAGCTGCACCTAGGGACGGATCCAGGACCGCACAGGCATTTTCTCCCGGGTCTGATCCGGGATTTTGGTTCAGCCCATTCTATAGACAGTGAGGCAGCTGTGGAGTGAGGAGCTCTGCTAAGACACACTCAACGGGCCTGTTCTCCTGCTTCAGGAGAAGGAAGTGGATGGGACTTACTGGTTCCCTAAGCCAGGAGGGCTGGGCCCCAAGAGTTCCTCTCCAGCTGTGGCTGCCAAATTCACAGGATGCTTTAGTCTGAGATGTTACTGGATATGTGGGGCAAAGCCACGGCATTAAATGGAAGCGACCAGATTTGATGGGAGCAGAGAGGGAGGGAGGGAGAGAACCTTTCCCCAGACACACTTGGAGGGAGAGGAAGGAGAGAGAGCCCCCCTCTTCCTCAGTGTCTCATGGATTGGGGACAGAGATCTACGCAGGGTAACGGATGCCTCTGCCACTTGCAAATAAGGATCAGAGCAGTGAAAGAGCTGGCGGTGCTGCCCACGAGAGAGGACAATTCAGTGGCTGGCATGGCATTGGGCTCCTGCCACTGGCTGGCAAAGAAGGAGCAGGTGAAACAAACGAGAGAGGGAAGAAAAGAGAGAGAACTTACAGGAAGGACTTCACATCCAAGCCTCGGTTGCGAATCTGCCCCACCACGTGGTCCCAGCTCCCAGGGTTGGAGCGGCTCCGGCCGCCAGCTGTCCGGTGCTTGGAGCCAGCCGAGACTCCTTGCCGCGACTGGCCGCTCCGGTAGCCCCGGGGGTTGCTGCCACTGGAAGAGGAGCTGGTGTGAGACTGTAGGTGCCCCAGGCTCTGGCTGGTGGTGGGCTGGCTGTGGTTGCTTTTCTGGTGCTGGCTCAGCGGCTGCTGGAGGCTCTGCTGGCGCATCAGTGTGCGTGGGCGCTGGCATTTCGGGTCTCCTGCTGAGGTGGGGATATACTCAAGGGTAGTGGCTGTGGACATGGTGGAGTCCTCGAAACTTAGGGAGGGGGAGGGCAAAGGAGAGGAAAGAAAGGAGAAGAAGGTGAAGGGGCAAAATTGGAGGAAGCAAAAGAAGAGAGTTAGAGAGAAGATGCCCCAGCGTGGTGCGCTCTCTGCCAGGGGCCTTCGGAACCAGCAAGCTGTCCCTCTAGGTCTCGGCCCTGTCTCTGCCTTCCCAGAGGCACAAGCTCTCTGCCCCATGGCCATCTCGCCTTCCCGTCCACCCCATGCCATGTCGCCCAGACTCTGTCCGATCCTTGAGGGCTTGGCGTGTCCGTGCCCATGAGCCGATGCTTGGGATACTGCTGTCCCCGTTCCTTTCCCACTCGGCTCGCAGGAAGCCTGCGCCTTCTCAGCACGCTGGCCGACCTCCTTTCTGAGCTAATTAGGCTGCTGCGTGAAGGCGAACCCCCCAGTGTCCGCGTTGCTTCCTGTCACATGAGAAACACCCCTCTCCCCATTGGCTACAACTGGGCAGCCACTTAGTCCCTGAAAGGGACTGTGAGGTGGGGGCTCTCCAAAGTCCCGGGACCAGGCTCCTCAGCGAAGTTCAGGACAAGCTGGCGTGAAAAAGGCTCATTCCCAGCCACCCACATTCTGAGGTCAAGAACCACAGAAGCCCTTCAAGTGTACCGTGCACATTCCCTGGGGCACAGTGGCAACCTCAGGCCTGGCGCATGCGTGCGGCAATGACTTCCCAGTATTCTCTCTCCTGACTGGCTGCCCCTTCCTCGGCCCCCACATGCTGGTTATGGCACAGTGCCAATCGGGAGACAGCCCAAAGCCCAGCCATGAGGTGAAAGCCCCTGGACTCAAGCTTTCCTTTGCCCTGCAGAGAAGGGGAAGATGCCTGCTAGTCTCTTGCATCTGTGTTTTTTAGCTTTCAGGATGGCTCTGCATTTAAGGGTCAGATGCTCAGCCGGGGTAAATCAGGGCTGCATCACTGACTCCAAAGGGACAACGGCCAGGTCACAATCTGGCCTTTGCAATGTTTGAACCCTGGTGGAAAGGGCTGGTGGCTGAAAAATACAGCCAGCTGCCCACGTGGGGACAGGGGCTCATCTGGGCATGAGAAACGGAGCGCATGGGCTGACCCAGGACAGAGAACGTGGAAAGACAATGCAATGTACACTAACTAACCATGAAGCCAGACCCATGGGTGATCACACGGCTAAACATGCAGCCAGGCACATGGTAGAGCACTCAGATAAACACAGCCAGATTCCTGGTAGAGCACCCAGATAAACACAGCAGAAGACCCAGATTAAACACACGGCCAGCTACATGGCAGAGCACCCAGATAAACACACAGCCAGCTACATGGTAGAGCACAGCCAGACAAAACTGAGCAGACAAAACTGAGCACACAGCTGGGCACACAATGGAACATGTGGCTAGCGCTCCAACTGGGAATGCAATGGCGCACCTGGCTGAAGACGTGTCGGAGCCTTCAGCTGAGCACACAGTTCCTGGATATTTGACAAAGCCCGTCGCTGAGCGTACAGCTGTCACATGAGAGCATGCACCTGGAGCACAAGGCTGGGCACAGGGCAGAGCACATGGCTGTGCACGCATACAGAGCACCCAGTTAGACGCTCGGCTGGACAGCCAATGAAGCAGGTAGCTAACCCTGTGGTTGAACAGAGGAGCATGTGGCCAGGACCCAACTAACCTCTTTGTCCCCCAGCTCTGCTGCTGCCATGAGGTCATGCCTTCGGCTGAGACGTCCCTGTAGCAGCCGGCTGGGCTGAGGCCAGGGTATTCACCATCCACCCTGATGGTCATTTCAAACCTAAGACCCTGCATGGTTCCCAAGGGTACAAAGGAAGAACAGCCCAGCCACAGTGGCGGCAGATGCCACCTCCGTGGCACATACCAGCCGGGCCCTGGGGGAATCGCTTCCACCGTGGCAGCAGCAGGAAAACTTTGTCTACTTTCCATGTGGGTTTGGGCTGTAATTATGGCTGAAACACAATGGTGAAGCTGCGCCTTCGTGCATCACGCAGAGAGCAGAAAGGAGAGAGGGAGAGAAAAAAGAAAGATCGAGAAAGAGAGAGATCAAGAAAGAGTAAAGGGAAAGAGAAAAAGTGAAGTCCTGAATAAGCAGAAAGCCCGCCTCAAAGACCCAGGTGCCCTGGAGAGGTGTGTCACCCAACTGGCATTGCCTCTGGCTTGGCATATATTTTTGGGTTCCTTGGCAAACGTGATTCGGAAGGAGCAATGCCATCTGGGTGATGAGTCCCCAAGCGTGGCCCCTGTGCTGCCTGGTATGACGCAGAGATGGGCCTTTCCCAGCCGCTGCCTTCGCTTCCATGCTCGGTGACCTCATTTCAGTTTTCTATCAAATCCTAAATTAGTCCAATTTACAACCTCTCAGTCACAGGAAACTAAAATTGGCTGCTCTGGGCCCTGAGCCAGTGGAATATATAAATTTCTATCAGCGGTAACTGACACATGGTAGCCGCTTCTGATGCAGAGGGAACTGTACGAACCTGGCATCAAGCACACCTGGCACTCTAGCGTCTGCTAGTACCTACTCCCGCCCCCTGGATACAGCTATTCCTATGGCACAAGCGAGTGAAGGTCGACCTCCTCCAGACACACAATGCAATGGAGAGCCCCATCACAAGGGCAGGTGTCAGCTACAGGAGTGGCTGTGTTTCTCCCCAGCAAAAGGAACTTCATTAAGATACAACCAGGTCTGTAAGGCAGATCAATTCCCTCTGCTAGAAACCTTCTTAAAACAGGGACATCGTATTTAAAAAAGCAGTAAAGACAAAGCCAAAGGGAAATTCATGACAATGCAAAGGCATTACAGTCTAGAAATTCAGAGCTAAATTTTCTCAAACACCCTAACTCTGCCTCATTTCCCACTCTTAAATGCACTAACCACATGTCATAGACTGGTGTCTGTGCCAAGTGCTTCAAGTCATTTTCAAAAGTTTGTCAAATCTATCTATCTATATATCTATCTAGTTAGCTAGCTACACCCTGCTATCTAATCTAATCTATCTAGTTAGCTAGCTATACCCTGCTATCTAATCTAATCTATCTATCTAGTTAGCTAGCTACACCCTGCTATCTAATCTAATCTATCTATCTAGTTAGCTAGCTATACCCTGCTATCTAATCTAATCTATCTATCTAGTTAGCTAGCTACACCCTGCTATCTAATCTAATCTATCTATCTAGTTAGCTAGCTACACCCTGCTATCTAATCTAATCTATCTATCTAGTTAGCTAGCTATACCCTGCTATCTAATCTAATCTATCTATCTAGTTAGCTAGGTACACCCTGCTATCTAATCTAATCTATCTATCTAGTTAGCTAGCTACACCCTGCTATCTAATCTAATCTATCTATCTAGTTAGCTAGCTATACCCTGCTATCTAATCTAATCTATCTATCAAGCTAGCTAGCTAGCTACACCCTATCTATCTAATCTATCTATCTATCTATCTATCTATCCACCCTTATGCACACTCATACATCATTCCCACCTCAGATGCATATATCCATCCTTCCATCTATCCACCCATCCATCACTACTCCCACCCCCATGGTATCTGAACACCTGAGCTAGTCCTCTCTGGAACAGGTAATGTGTCTGGGGACCATATATAGAAAGTGTGATGTGAGTGTTGTCCTGTCTTGCTCCAGTGGGCATTTGTGGGTGGGAAGGAGAGATCTTTACTCTGTATCAGATGGGTAGGAGGCAGGTGCTCTGCCTGACACAGTCCAGGAGCATGGATTTGAGGAGGGATTGTAGCTGGGTATGTTGTTTCAATGCAGCGATAATGCAATTTGCATATCATAAATCAGAAAGGGGTCTCTATAGTAGGGGCATGTAGCTCATATAGGAAATGTATGGAAAGGGCCATTGGAAAGATGTCTTGGGGATACAGAAGGTTGTTCAGGTACAGAGTTAAGGTTATTTATGGAACCTTAACTCTGAATTTCCAGTTTCTTTCTTTTTTTTCTTTTTTTGTAAATTGAATATTAACTTACAGTTTCCTGGCTTTCAAATTATTCTTTATAACAATAAGACTCTAACAAAATTTTAAATGACGTATTTGAATATGTTATTAAAACCTTACTGGCATCTTAACAAAGCATTTTGTCTGGGAATTTCCTTAGTGTTTTTTAAATGAATGTATTTCAACACAATGATATGTGAAAACATGCCATACATCTATATATGTTCTTCCGAGAGACTACTTTGCTGTATTTCTAGTTAGGGTGTAGAATTATACATGTTATTCAGTGAATTACAGCACAGCATAGTATCTGAGTTAAATACTGCACCATTGGAGTCTGTACCTTCCTGGATCTCGGGCAATTTAACCAACAGAGATTAGAAATTTAGGGCCAGATCCTCAATCTGGTGTAAATCAGTGTAGCTCCATGTAAATGAACAGAGTTATGCCAATTTACAGCAGCTGAGAATCTGGTCCAAGACCTTTAAGCCAAACTGAGTTACGAGTGTCCTAAAGAAACTGTTTTTTTCTAACGCTGATAAACTTCAAAATTTTCCCCAAGTCCCCCTCTGACATCAGACTAAGGGAGCAAAATTTTGGGGCTCAAAAATTTAGTTTATTGCAAAAGTTAGGCCAAATCTGGACATAGAATGGACTCCAAGAAGTCACTACTGCCGTTAGCCCCCTCCATGGGGGTGGGGCTAAGAATGGTCCTGCCCCCAAGGGTAGGAATGGGATGGCCCAAGAGTGGGGCAATCCATTAGCTGTTTCACTACACAAACCAATGACTCCATATTGGAGTGTTCACCCATTGGAGCAATCCACTAGTAAGTTACCAGAGCCCCCCGGCTTGGTACTAAGCATGGAAGGGGTAGAAAGCCAGCTGAGCAGCCTCTTACCTTGCTCACTTCCCCTACCCGCAGATACTTGCAGAAATGTAGGCATAACCCCTGGCCTGCCTGGTACCTGTAAGTCTCCCCCCACTTCTAGCACTGATCCCCAGCAGAGCCTTGATTCCAAGAGACTGAGCATTGGGCAGGCGATCTCCCTTCCAGACCCATAGAAAGCCCATGTAGCAGGCAGGATCCCCAAGATTAACTGACTCAAGCACATCCACAGGGCTGCTCAGGGGGTGCTGCCCCACCGCAGAGGATGCAGCTCTGCCAGCTGGGGGAACCAGTCAGCTAGCAATAGTGACATGGAGACGGGGCCCTGCTTTTTGGACATCAAATTAATTAATTCCCAGCCACCAAACCCCACTCCCTAAGGCCTCTCCTCACGCTCCTATCTCAATCGCTATGGACAACCCCACCATCATTCCTGTTGCCTAGGTCTGTAATCTAGGCGTCATCTTTGCCTCAGCCCTTTCTGTAGGTCCTCACATCTAGGCTGGGTCTACACGTTCTCCTGCACATCACCTCTAAGATCCAGCCTTCCTTTTCCATCCACACCTCTAATACTCTCATCCACGCCCACCCCATCTTGACCAAACTTGTCCTCTCTGGCCTTGACAAAAGCAGTCCTGCCCCACTTATCTCCCGTTCAAAACACCACTACACAGATAATTTTCCAGGCTTGTAGCTTTGACGTTCTCACACCTCTCTTTCCACTGCTCTGCTGGCTCCTCCTCCACCACATCAAACCCAAATGACTTGTCACTTTCAAGGTCCTCTCCGGCCTACCCCATCCTACCCAACATCAATCCAATGCTGCCAAGCTGTTGGCTCCCCTTCCGCTTTGCCAGAGCCTCCATCACCCACTTGTTAAATGTTCAGACAGGCCCCTTCGTGCTCTCTCCCTCACGCACGGGAGAAGCTCCCTGTGGTCATCCACAAAGACACCTCGGTGTCCTCCTTCAGACTCTCCTGTCTAGACCCACCTGTTGTCTCTAGACTTCTACTTTGATTATAAGCTTTTTGGGGCAGAGACTGTCTTTTGCTGTTCGCACAGTGCCTAGCACAATCACAGAAATAGAGGGCTGGAAGGGACCTCGAGAGGTCATCCAGTCCATCCCTCCTTAGCTAAGGGAGGACCAAGTGTACCTAGGTGAGTGCTGACAGGTGGTTGTCAAACCTGTTCTCCAGTGACAGGGATTCCACACTGGGGCCCTGGGTTCTGACTGGGGTCCCCCAGATGCTACCGCAATGGAGATAATGACAGTACTTCACCAAGGATCAAGAGGATTCTCATCTCATCATCATTAAATCCCCATCGGGTGGCCAAGTGTTTCCTGCCATCTCAGACATTCCAGACTGCCCTGTCTGATTCCACTGGGGTGGGGTAGTCCTCTCACACGACCCCAAATTTTCCTGTACCCGCTGCCTGACCCCAGTGGGGGGGATAATCCACTCAAACAGCAGGATATTCACCCAACCCCATGCTCTGCTGGACCCCACGCTGCAGTGCCTCATGGGGCCGGGAAGGGCCTGAGAAGCGCTCTCACTCACTTGGATAGGCTGAGCTTCCCTGCTGCTAGGTGGCTCTGCACCGTGTGCCATCGGCCTCTCCCCGCCTTCCCATTGCTGGGCTCGCTGTGGGCAGACAGGCTGCTCTTCATGCCGTCCTCGCGGAGCTGCTGCTTCTCCCCCGGGCGTCCTTCTCGCTCCCCCGCCAACCCCGGAGCGGAAGAGGCGGCCAACTTAGCGCCCGATAGCAGAGAGCCACTGGGGTGGGCCAGATCCACCAGGATGGGCGCGGGGGGGGGTGGCGGGGAGGAGGCCACACGTGGGGGGAGAAAGAGAGAGAGAAAGAAAGAGAGAGACAGACAGACAGACAAGAGACAGACAGACAGAGAGAGAAAGAGAGACATCAGCACTGCAAAAGAAAGGGCTGACGGGGAGCCTTCGGCAACAGGGAGAGGAGAGAAAAAACAACAGGCGGCCCCGGCTCGGTGTGAGTGTGTGATGGCAGCAAAGTTACGTTATCCCATAGACAACGAGGGGTTAAACAATGGAGAAAACTGTTAGGAGAGGCACCAGTACAGGCAGAGGGAGAGAAAAGCCATGTTAGTGAGAGCTTACCAGCACCAGAGTCACCACCACACAGTGCAAATGCAGAGTACACGCTGAGGGGGGACCCAAACGCGCAACCCCATCCTGTGCTGCAGAGAAGGGGGCATGGGGTGGGGGAGGGAGAGCAGAGGGGACCTGGGGCAGCGGGGTGGGGGCGCTAGCCTCTCTCAGCGAGTCACTTAGGGCAGTGGTTCCCAATCCATTGGGGCAGCTGTTCCAGACTAGCAGGCGAAGGGCCTGAGCCAAACCTCCGCCAAGTCAATGGCAAGCTTCCCATTGGCTGGCATGAGCTTTGGATGAGGTCCCGAGGCCACAGCTGTGCCAGCCGGTGCCCACCGCTGCTTCCCATTTGGTGGGCTGTGTTCTATCCCGCCCTGGAGCTTGGGCCCAGCCCCACAAGGGGGCAGCCTGATGCAGCGGTGCCTTGTGAAGGGCCACTGAAGTCCCTGGCAACGCTCTCTCTGACTTGGATTTGAGCCTAAGGGAGCGAGGGGCTGAGCCCAGGGAACTGGCCTGGCATACCAGTACTGGCGCCCTTGCCAGTGGTTGGGAACCACTGAGATAAAGGCGGGGGGCGGGAAGGGCAGGAGGGGTTGCTCGTCTCCATGGCTGTCTGCCCATGGGGGTGGAGTGTGTGGGGAGAAGAGGTGGAGCAAAGAGGAAGAGGAGGAGGGTGAAGGGGAGGAGAGGGTAGGTGGGTGGGTGGTGGGTTGCGCATATACTCACTACACATGATCAAACCAGGTAACGAGAGACTCACTTGAGGGAAAGTCGTGGATCACCGTATGGGGCGTAAGGTGAAATGTTTAGTATAAACTCCTTGGGAGGGTAGGAGCTCCATTTCTGCTGCACTGTGTTGTCATTGTTATTCCAAAAGTCTCTGTCTAGATCACTACATCGGCCGGAGAAGAGGGGAGAAAGAAAAGGGAAATACAAGAGAGAGAATCTGAATTCCTGCGAGGGGAGGAAGGAGAAAAAAAAATCAACCCCCTCCCCCACAAAACCAGAAAGAAGCCAGGTTAAAAAGGAGAGCAGCTCCATCTCCTCCTGTGAAAAAAAAGCCACAGCGGTCGCGGCATTGGCCTGCCACACACATACACACCCACGCAAACACGGAGGGAGGATGGACTGGGGACAAAGGGAGGAAGAGCAGCAGAAAGACGGGAGCAGGAGCCTCCAGAAGCTGGTAGGAGAGAGAGAGAGACAGAGTGCAGGTTAAAGGAGAGTCCGCTGGACACGGCAACCTGGTAATGTCTCGCCAGGCTCCCTGCTCTGTTCCTGGGAACAGCTTCAGGGCAGTTCTCACTACATCCCAAGCACCCTGCCCCCCGGATGATGGCAGAACTGATGGCTCCAGGCATTCAGAAATCAGGAGGCATGCCCCCAAAAGCATGCGATTGGCCTAAAAAGGAGGCGGTTTGGGAGCGTTAGGGAGTCACGCTCTCAAGCTTTCTTGGCAACCATTACTGGGCTGGGAACGCACTGCAGGTGTTACCACAGAAGCTGAGATGCTCACAGACTCGCGAGCCCGAGAGCTGGGGTCATCAGGAAAACACCCCAGCTGCTCAAGACTCACAATATAATCACTAGAACTGGCAATGGGGCAGTGCAAAACGTAGTCCCCTTAGCATTGAGACAGCGGCAGAATCCACTACAGTCTTGGGGACTGACTGACATCTTCCAAGAGACTGGAGGTCAGCATGCTGAGGGGAATGTCACCTTCATTCAAGGGGGAAATGAGCTGGCAGGACTCAATGCCCAGTTCCTGAGGCATGGGAGGACGTGGGATTTGGGGAATGGAAAGATTCTAAGAACATTTGATAAAGTTGGGAGTCAAGCTAGGGTGATGGTCCATCAGGATCTCCCGAGGTTGGCCTCTGAGGGACAATGGGCCAGGAATATAGTCAGACTTGTTCTGCCATCACTTCGAGATTTGCTAGAAACTCCAGCTGGAGAGAGGAGAGGGACCCGGGGAGCAACTTGAGAGACACACAGGACTAATATTTGAAACCAGCCACTAAAAACCTGAGAGGGATGGCAGATGAATCCAGCAGGGGGTTCTTATTTCCTGTTTGTCTTCCACCTAGATAGGCATTGTCCATCACCAGGACTCATCTTAGTACAGCAGAGGTGGAGAACCAGAGCTAATAGCACCCTGCTCCAGATGTGGGGCCCCTCTCTAATCCAGAGCTACTGACACCTGCTCCAGATGCGCAACTCCTCCCTGAAGAATCCAGGACAGATGACACCCTGCTCCAGATGTGAGACCTCTCCCTGCAGGATCCACAACTGACACCCTGCTCCAGATGTGTAATCCCTCCCTGCAGGATCCAGAGCTAATGACACTCTGCTCCAGATGTGAGACCCTCCTCTCCTAGAAAACGTATATTAAGGGTAACCCTCTTGTCCCATCCTGCGGGACAAGATCAGTCCCCACTTGACGGTGCAGCGGGAGCCAGGGAGCGTGATTCAGCAGGGCGTGCACTGCGACTGTCTGGCTGTACATTTCAGACTCTAAATAGGTCACTTCATGCCACGGACAGATCAGAGACAAGCCGTATCTACCCATCGCCTCCTGACTTCAGAGAGCCGCCAATGGCTTCCTGTTGCTTGACCTGGAGTACGTGGGATCCAACAAGCAGCACCTTTGAAGTCAAGTGGTACTGCGGCAAATTCATCGGAGACTTCAAAAGTCCCCGACAGGCTGCGTGCCTGCACTCAGCCCGCCTCCCCTCATTAATTCCTCCAGTCCTCCTGCGGTTCTGACATGAAACGGCCTCTCCGAACACACAGAGTGAGATGAAAGGCCGAGGAGAGGGGGCCGCACGTGCCCCAGGGGCCACTGCCTTTTGCCTTAGAGCACAAGGCTCGCTCACAACCCGGTGGAAAGAAGGGGGAAAGGGAGAGAAAAAGTGGAGGGGAGGCAGGGAAGGGAAAAGAGGGAGGTGGGGAGAGAAAGAGAGAAGAGAGGATGGAGGAGAGAGGGAGAGACAAAGGCCCTCTGATTTGCAGCTCTCTTCCTCAGTCAGGGCCAGCTGGTTGGGCATCGGAGGCTGAGCTGTCTGGAGAGTCTCTTGTCACTGGTGCTGGGAGACCCACGAGGCTTCTGGGAAGTGGCAGCTTTTGAGTCCCGAGGAGAGAGGGTGAAGAGTCTCAAGTGGGTGGCGTACCCCTTAGGGAGTGGGCAGACCCTCCCAGAGAGAGAGGGTGGAGTGTCTGAGGAGTGGATGGGGTGAGTGTCTGCAGTGTAGGATGGCGTGTCTCAGGCTAGCTCTTTGTCCCCTGAGTGACTCCTCTCCTCAGAGGGCAGCCCGCACACCACTCCTCTGCGACTCACCACGGACCTCATCTCTCATCACTTCACTCATCAGCAGGGTCGGTGACATCAGCCAGGTCTGGAGCACGCAATGGGGCCGCCACGCGGGCACTGTGTGAAGGGGCATGTTGCCCAAGGTCCCCTGGCCCACATGAGGACAGGTGCTGCCACCCTTGGGCCTATGGTAGGGAAGATCCCATGCACCCAGGGACCTTGTGCGCACACACTTGATCCACTAGCCAGAGTGCCACAATAACTGCGCCACTGGCCGGTCCATGGAGGGGCAGCCCTGGTCACGGCGGGTGAAGAGAGTAAGCTCCACAAGGCACCACATAGGCTTGGTGAGAGGAGGGAGCAGCCACAGTCCCACTGGAAGTGGCCACTCCTCAGGAAGGCAGTGGAAGGCGACAGGCTCAGCCTGGAAGAGCGATAGACGCGACAATGGCTCTCGCCAGGCTGAAATGGGTCAGTCATCCACCCATCCCTCCTCCCAGGACTGCCCCCACCCCGGCCAGCTGACCTCCCCCCAGCCGCGCAGGCCACGCAGAAGGGGACGCCAGGTTTCCAGGGCATGGGGGGAACAGGCAGAGTGCTGACCGATATCGCTGTCCTGGCGTGGGTGGGTAGGAGCCACCTGGGGCCCAGTCATAGTCACAGGGCCCAGTTCCCCTGAAGGCCCATCTTACTGCCCCGGTGGGCACTGCCCCATTGCACGATGTTACAGCACCCCAGGCCCATCAGTAGCCCTTCACACCATTTCTCCACCCAAGTGCACCCGTCTTAGGAGCCCTCTTGCCGCACAGCCCAGTCACGCATTACAGCCCTCGGCCCCACGTCCTTTATGGAGTGGGTGTAGGGACTGCCCCATCGGCGTCTCTGTCTTTGGATGCTGCCTTGGCCTCTGAACAAAGAGAAGCCCTGAGAAAGGTCATGGCTGTGGCCCATATCCCCCCAGAGTGCACCATGGGCTTAAACCCTCAGCTTGAGAGTGGGGCAAGACATTATGGAGACAGCCAAGTGAACAGCAGGGCCCCTGCTTGGTATGAGACAGAGAGAACGTGAGGTGTCCTCCACCCCTGTAGGGCAGAGGGGACCCTGAGGCACCTCCCCTCCCCTCTGTGGGTCAGAGGGGACCCTGAGGCACCTTCCCATTCCTCTGTGGGGCAGAGGGGACCCTGAGATGTCTCCCCTCCCTCTGTGGGGCAGTGGGGACTTCTGTGTGCTGAGATGTGAATAGAGAAGGATAAATCTCATTGTGATTGGTCCAAGCCAAGCAGGCTGCTGCAGAAGGAGGTGTCCGGGGGGGTCGGGATGGGGTGGGCATGGGAGCCCAGATCCAACTGGTTACCCCAATGGCTGTCAATGTGGAGAGCAGCTAGGATCCCTGCCCCTCCATGTGCCCTGGCTGCCCTTTGGGGAGCATGGACCATGCAGGAAGAAGGAAAAACCAGGGGAACTAGCTGCTGCAGGACCTGGTCTTTTATAGCAGACCCCGGCTGGCGATCAGCATCCCCTGCGGGCAAGATGCAGCATGATGGCCTAACAGCCTCGCCAAGCCCTGCCACCATGGCTACGAGCCTGGCATGAGGGACCCGAGGCCCTGACTTTGCCCACCCTGAGGAGACAGCTCTGAGGACTCGCAGCCCTGGGGACAGTCCTCTGGGCTCCCAGGAGGTGGTTGCCTGCTGCCTGAGGAGGGCAGGGAGACATGAAGCCTTGGTCTGGCTTTGGTAGGCTCTGTTCTCGCTCAGGGCTGGTGAGCAGGTGCAGCACTGGAATGTTTAGATGGGGGTGGTGTTGGGGGCAGAGGAGAGCAGTTTGTAGGTCGTGGCCGGGTGCACACGAGGCAGTGGGGCAGTCTGGGGTTGGTGTCTGATTGGTGTGGGGGGCTGTGTGTGTCAGGGAGGTGTCTGAGCTGGGGAGGAGGTGGGGGGGCATCTGGGGGTTAGGCAGCTGTGTGCCTTTGGAGAGGTGTGTGTGCTGGGGGCAATGGGTGAGAGAGTTTGAGGGTGCAGTGGTGAGCTGGTTTGTTTGGGGGCACAGGGGTGTGTTTGGGGGTGGGGCTATAAGAAGTATTTTGGGGTGCAGAAGTGTGTGGAGCCTCTGAGCTTGGGAGTATCTGAGGGTGCAGGAGTGTGGGGGGAGGTGTGATCGGGTAGTCTGGGGAAACAGGAATGTGGGGTGCAGAGGCATGGGGATGTTTGAAGGCATCACGGTGTGGGGATGTTCAGAGTTTCCGGGTCTATGGATGTGTTTGTGGACATTGAAGGAGTATGGGGAGGTGTGGGTGTTGGTGGATTGTCTTGGCTGTGTAGGGGCAGGATGTATGGGGTACAGTGTGTGGGAATGTGTGGGTGTTGCAGGGGTGTGGAGTCAGTATGGGGGTGGGGTGTATGGGGCACAGTGTGTGGGGATGTTTGGGTGTTGGTGGAGTGTTAAGGCTGTGGGAGGGCAAGGTGAATGGGGCACAGTGTGCGGGGATGTGTGGGTGTTGGTGGATTGTCATGGCTGTGTGGGGGCAGGGTGTGGGGATGTGCGCGTATTGGACTGTCATGACTGTGTGGACAGTTTGTACGGAGCATAGACTGTGGGGATGTGCAGGTGTTGATGCGGTGTTAAAGCTCTGTCGGGGCACGGTGTATGGGGTGCAGTGTGTGGGGATGTGCGGGTGTTGGTGGATTGTCGTGGCTGTGTGGAGGCAGTGTGTACAGGCGCGGTTTGTGGGGATGTGTGGGTGTTGGTGGACTGTCAATACTGTGTGGCGGTAGGGTCTATGGAGCACAGAGTGTGGGGATGTGCGGGTGTTGGTGGGGTGTTAAGGCTGTGTGGGGGCAGGGTGAATGGGGCAGTGTGTAGGGACCTGCGGGTGCTGGCGGATTGTCATGGCTGTGTGGGGGCAGGGTGTACAGGGGGCAGTGTGTGGGGGTGTTTGGGGTTCAGGAGTTTCCAGCTTCTGGGAAGCTGCGTGGAGCAGACACCACGCTCCAGGGCAGCACCTGAAGCTTTAATCCCTTCCCGCGCTGTCCCGTGGCACCTACTTGATGGTTTTCTTTTCGCTGCGCCCTCGGCTGGAATCCGGGGTCCCCACCGTCTCCAAGGAATTTTTATAACGTTTACCCTATGGGAAAAGAAGGGAGATATGTCAAGGGGTCGGAGCCAAGAAGTTTCCAACTGAATTTTTGGACACAGGCTCGCTCGTGCTAAAACCTGTGAATTGTCTGGGGATTGTTAATTTTTTTCAGGCCAGTCTGCCCACTGTGAGCCCCAGGTACCAGCGGTAATCAGACTCACAGGTTTCATTTGCTGCAGATCAGTGTTTTCTCCCTATCCATCTGGCTCTCATTGTGGTTATGACATAAACGCTTTCCTGGCTAATGTGATGGTAGCCAAGTGACTTTCCCAAGGTCCCACAAGGAATCTGTGCTAGAGCCAAGAATTGAACCCAGGTCCCCAGCATCCTAGTCAAGTCCACTAAACACAAAGCAATCCTCTCGCCCACTGACAGATACCTGTTTTAAAACAGTCATTTAATCAGGGAGAAGAAACAAGACCATGTGACTTAAGTGCCCAAACTCTCCCACCCCACCCTGAATAATGTCTATTTAATGTGACTAATTCTTGAACCAACAGGTTGCCCATGAGGCCAGCCAGAGCTTTCCCTGCTGCCATCTCTATCAGCCCACTGTCTGCAGGGTGAGGGGAATGTGCAGCTGAAGATGGGTGCTGGATTTTGGGGGACGTTCGTTGGATGAGGCCATGATTAAGTCTCATGTCCCAGATTGTCAGGTGTGTTCTGACCTAGTTTTTGCTCTTTTGTGGCTTCCAGTTTGTCATTCACTTCAGCTGCTCACCTGGTTTTGCTTGGAAAAATCCTGAAATTGGTCAAACTCTTAACGTTTCTGGTGTGTTTCCCTAGACATCTGAAACAGTCAGAAAGCATCATGGGAAAGGCATGCCCCAGAATGCTCCTTGCTTGGCCATCACAATGGAGCACTTCCAAGGAGTTAGTTTGGATGACCTGTGCCCCCCTACTGCTTCTGCTTCATGAACGCAAGACAGAGAGCCAAACCCGGCCTTCCTCTCCGCTGCCCCATCACATCTGCAGCAGGGGAGGATCAGCAATTTTAGGATTAATTGAACTTTAATTAATTAAGTTCACAGAAAAAAAAAACCATGTCACAAGATAATGAAATGTGCATTTGTTCCTAATTGGGGCTTGATAATAAGGCCACTTGGTAGTGATTTCCGATGGCAGGTACAACATGCTGTGCGATTCCAGGGCAGACAAGAGCACAATTAATGCTGATTAGCAAACAATTAGTGGATGACACCAACCCACACAGGTGCAGGTAAAGGGCCCCCCCTCACAGCTCTAGGGGGAAGCCATCTAAGAAAAGTGAGAGGCCACCAGGGGTATTTTTAAGCCTCAGCTGCATGAAATATGCTTGGCCGGGGGCAGGGGGAGAGGGGACAAGAGAGAGCAACAAACATATGGGGTGCTCTGGATCCAACAGGAGCTCTGGATGTAGTGGTGGGAGAAAACAGGACAGCAGCGGGGGGAGAGGGGAGGAAGGGAGCTGGCTCCAGGCACACAGATAGAGCAGGATGGGGCAGGAGAGAATTTGGATCTAGGTCAAGGTGGTGACGAACAGTAGAAGAGAATTTGGATCTGGGTCAGAGCGGGACGATGGAGAGTGGCACAGCAGCAGATGTGCGTGTGAAGGAATCTGGGTCTGGACTGAGGGCAGGGGTGACAGTGGGATAAGGCTGGGGTGTTTGTGGGCAGGGGAGTCATGCAATTTGGATCTGGAAAGAAGGACAGGATTGAGGGGACAACAGAGAGTTGGAGAATGACCAGTCTGATCAGGGTAGGGGAAGGGATTCTGTGGCTGGGGAGGGGTAGGCTAGCAATGTGAAATATGGACTCAGACTGACAGCTCACTCCCCCTAGACCTTTCACCCCACCTGCACTGTCCCTGTGAGCTCTCCAGGCAGCCACACACATGCATTGTTCATTGCGGTTAGTTGTGGGTAATCTGCCCACATATTAAGAAAAAGCCTGGGGAGGATCACAAACAGCCTGTTAATCACCATGAGAAATGCTGCCCCAGGGGGTGGGGGGGGTTGGGGGAAAGGGGCTCATTTATGGACTTCATAGCTAGGTTGTGGTTTGCTTTCTCCATCCTAAGCCTCAGCCCTTGATCTCCCTCTGTGTCCCTCAGAAACACCGCAGTTCTGCTTCTGCTTTCTCCTGTGTGGTCTCCCGGCAGAGGAGAGATTTCTGGATGTCACTCAGACAGCCATAAGAGGTGCAAATGGAGATGTTTTCCTCCTGAGTTACTTTTGGGAAGGCACCTCCCCAGAAATGGCTTGGCCTAGAAACTCCAAGAGCCCTCCACAACAGCACATGTCCTTGAACATGCCTTAGAAGGCCAGGTGGTTAACTTTGGAGCCAGTCACCGCAAATGTCATAGAATCATAGAATCACAGAATATCAGGGTTAGAAGGGACCTTAGGAGGTCATCTAGTCCACCCCCCTGCTCAAAGCAGGACGAATCCCCAACTAAATCATCCCAGCCAGAGCTTTGTCAAGCCTGACCTTAAAAACTTCTAAGGAAGGAGATTCCACCACCTCCCTAGGTAACGCATTCCAGTGTTTCACCACCCTCCTAGTGAAAAAGTTTTTCCTAATATCCAACCTAAACCTCCCCCACTGAAACTTGAGACCATTACTCCTTGTTCTGTCATCTGCTACCACTGAGAACAGTCTAGAGCCATCCTCTTTGGAACCCCCTTTCAGGTAGTTGAAAGCAGCTATCAAATCCCCCCTCCTTCTTCTCTTCCGCAGACTAAACAATCCCAGTTCCCTCAGCCTCTCCTCATAAGTCATGTGTTCCAGTCCCCTAATCATTTTTGTTGCCTTCCGCTGGACTCTTTCCAATTTTTCCACATCCTTCTTGTAGTGTGGGGCCCAAAACTGGACACAGTACTCCAGATGAGGCCTCACCAACGTCGAATAGAGGGGAACGATCACGTCCCTCGATCTGCTGGCAATGCCCCTACTTATACAGCCCAAAATGCCATTGGCCTTCTTGGCAACATATCCAGCTTCTTGTCCACTGTAACCCCTAGGTCCTTTTCTGCAGAACTGCTGCCGAGCCATGCGGTTCTTAGTCTGTAGCGGTGCATGGGAGTCTTCCGTCCTAAGTGCAGGACTCTGCACTTGTCCTTGTTGAACCTCATCAGATTTCTTTTGGCCCAATCCTCTAATTTGTCTAGGGCCCTCTGGATCCTATCCCTTCCCTCCAGCATATCTGCCTCTCCTCCCAGTTTAGTGTCATCTGCAAACTTGCTGAGGGTGCAATCCACACCATCCTCCAGATCATTTATGAAGATACTGAACAAAACCGGCCCGAGGACCGACCCTTGGGGCACTCCCCCAATGTCTGAACTTTGGAGAACTTTGCCAAGACCCAGCTGAGCTGATAACTTTTGCCAACATCAGGCTGAATTCAGCATCTCCAGAGCTCTACAACCGCTGGCAGAGCGTAAGGTTCAGCAGGTGAGCTCCTGTCTTTGCCAGCAGCACAACTTGGAGACTTTGTCACCTTCATCAGCCAACCAGTTTGGGTTTAAGCTGCTCCCAAGCCTGCCACACTCTCTCAGCCCAGCTGCTGCAGTTCAACAAGGCTGCAAACACCCCCGGCCCAGCTCATGAGATCTCTGAGCTCCATTGTTCAAAAGGTCCAGGTTAGAGGAGGTTACAGACACAGCCGGAGTGGCCTGCAGGACGCGGAAACACTGTTTTGTGAACCTCTTGCGTTCCAGGCACCCGTAAGCTCTGTCGTTAAATGATACAGGTTCCAGAATGGCGCAGACTCTGCCAAGAGCAGGCTGCAGTGTCCGCAGGCTCCATTAGCGGAACTGCTCAGGTGTGAAGGGGGTGGGGGCTCTGCCAGCACGGCCTCCAGTGAACTCCATTCATCAAAATGTTCCCATCCAAGGAGGTTTCAAGCTCAAGCCAGTGGAGCAGTTCTTTCCAGTGCAATGCTGAAAACCAAGTACAGTGCCAACTTGACACCACATTTAGGACTGTAGCAGAATATAGGGGTAGATCCTGGTCTCTGCCCCTGAGATGGTGCAAAAGGGAACAGAGCCATGAAGGAGCCTAATGACCATCCCAGCAGGATTAGAAGTGGGCACTTCAAGAGACGTCTAGCTGTTGTTCATACTTGAGAGCTGAAGTGAAGCATGAGTTAGATGTAAGTGATTTGGGGTGGATGGTACAAGGGATAACTGGTTACCTTGGTTACAAAGGGATGGGTCTTTGGGGGAGGTCAAAGGAGATGCAACTTGCACCGAATTCAATGGGAGCTGGATCTGCTTCCAGCTGAATCTGGCCTATGTGCCAATCTAGGACAGACGTGCACACTTCCTGAGCTGAGCGAGACACATAGCATTGCTGCTGATGGGCAGGCCGAGAGGAGCTCTTTTATCTGATATGGCGGGACAGCCATTGTGGGCTGGCTTCCCTTTCCTCAGTACGCATCTAGCCACCTTTCTATCTTAACCCACTTTGTCCTTCACGCTTTCCTCGCCCTGCTCCCCCCTTTGCCCATCACATCTGCTTTTAGATAAGACAGCAGGGACTGGGTGAAGCAACTGTTCAGCTGGGGACAATCACGGGTGGGCACCTCAATGGCAAGGGTACAGGGAAACTGAGTAAGGGTGGGATAACCACAGGGCCACGGTGCCTGGTCAAGGGCAAAAAACTCCCCTCCACAGACACTGATGAGCAGGGCACCAGTGCAGACCAGCATGGGGATGAGATGAACCTGAACGGCTGGCCTGCACCCACTGCATGGTCAATGCCCACAGTCAGAGTGCCCCCTGCTGGGCCCAGGGACGGCTGCAGCTCACCAGCTCTGACTCCACCTAGTTGGATCTTGTGCTTAAGGCACAGGATGGGGAAGCAGAAAATCTGGATTCAATTCTTCACCCTGTGTGACTGACTGTGGGGCAGGTCACTTCATCTCCCATGGGAGTTAGAAGCCTAAACAGCTTTGAGGGTCTGGGCCTCAGTGCCCCATCTGTAAAAGGTGATTGTGACGCTCCCAG